TTTGTAACAAAGTATGGTTTGATGTTGCTTATGCAGACCAAAATATGGTACTACAATGCTCAAAAAATATAAAAATAGATGGGGCATACTTCGGAACAATGAAACAAAATGGTTGTGATCCCAGTATGCTTCCCGTTATGGTCGAGAATTTCGGCTCTGCACATGGGTAGTGAGCGACAAATTCATCCTCTGTAAGATCCTTAACGCGGGCTCGAAAAGATAATGTTTCTTCCGTGCGAGGTGCTCTCATTATATTTCAACTAAACTTCACGGTTTAGATTTGTAACAAGGGCTTAAGTGAAAAATTAAATGTCTTGTATCCGTGGGCACGTTTCTCTGTTCGAGATATGGTTCAAATTTGGTTTAGGACACTTCACACGCGTCCAAGGTGTTCAAATTTTTCAATAAGGTTGATTGGTCACTTTATTGATCATGACAATTAAGCTATGTACACCTCGACTGGGCGACTTTATACCGTCAAGATTGTAAATATGTATTCTGTCGTTCTCCCCGATCGTTTCTATTAACGCGCAGGCTCATTTATCTGTATCCCTCCCTTCACTTTTGTGTAGTGCAAAATCATTGCTCACGTCTTTCGACTCTACCATGGTTTGCGTGTACTTGGCTCCATACTCATTTAGCTCGTCACACAATCTCGACAGCCATGTTGCATGATTAGTGGCAGCACGTTTCACCTTTTCGCGGCCTTTTGCCCAGCGTGAAATATTCTGATTGAAAATTAGCTCAGCATGAGCGGCACTGCGGGCTGTAGAATCGGGCTCGAAACAATACCCACTGCAATAATCATCTGGTTAGCATGAAATCAACAAAGGCCACGAAAACATACCGCAAACCCGATCCGCGTTGCAAGTCAATCCAGCGCCTCTCTGGTCCAGCCGAAATTCTCCTCGCTCTGTTTGCTGTACAATACTTGAGTGATGGATACCGATATGTGCCATCACTTGCGATGTACGATTGAGGAGTTTGATAGACGGTGTTCAAGTCATCTATGATAATTTTGGGGGCTCTTTCTGAGGAATGATAGGCACCGGAAACCAACTTTTCTTCGAGTCTCCCCAATCTCACAAGCGTAGATGTGAGAGGCTCGTTTGGGCTCGAGTAATCCGACCACTCGTTACAAAATTCGTCTTGATCATCATCGCTACTTGTCCCAGAAAGGTTGTTGTCATGCATACTTCCTTGTCGTAGCCGGTTAACTGTGGCATCACTGATAAGACCAAATCGCAAAAGATGCAAAAAGTATTCGTACCCATGCGCTTCATTTTAGCAACGGTAAGTTCCCGCTGTTTCACCCATCCTTCTTGTTCGCGCAACTTTCGCATGCCTTCGCTCAAGTTTGACATATTCTTGTCCGTTTAAAAACACATACAGTTGTTAAAGAAATAAACAAACCGATTAATCAAAAGATTGATATCCTAAAGACCCACCTCATCAAACATGCGCTTCACTTCTCGGTTAACCAGATTAGCTTCAGATACACGGGAAGTTCGTTTCCACTCAACTTTGCTTGTCTTAAGCTGCTGTGCCTGTTTTGCTAGACCATCACGTTGATTAAAAACCAGGTTCCGTGCAGTCAAAAGAGCATTTTCTTCTTCTTTGAGTCGCTGCTTCCACTTTTGGTACATCTTCGCGCGATAATTATGACGACGATTTGGCTTCTTGATGATTTGAGCACTACTTGGCATCAAGACGCTGTCATTTCCGTCAGAATCATTTTGTCTCTTTTTCAGCTGCCGCATAGATGCTGGAGAAGGGTGATTTTGCAATAGTTTGCCTTCTGCATTATCCTCTAGTAAAGAATTGCGCTGCTCTACAAAAGTCTCCTCGCGCTTCACTTGACGAATGTCACGAAGTTTCGTGCTTAAGTCATCTTCTTCCTTGTCAAAAGCCTTGGTAATGATTTCAAATTCACGAGCTTTACGCTGATGCAGCTCTTCTTCCAATTGTAATAATTCTGCTCGCATCTGCTTCTTCGCCTCATTCCGCTTTATATCTGTCTCGTGTCGTATTTGCTGTAACATTTGTACAGAGAGCATTTCCTCTTGTTCCACACGCTGACGCCGTGTTTTTTCTAGTTCGGCTATCATGTCATCTATTTGTCTTTCATACTTCGCACGTATACGAGCTTTGTGTCGAACATGAGCCTGCTGTTCTCGCTGCTGGAAATCTTGCAGCTGAATCAAAAAGTCATTTCTCAAAATTCGTTTCTTATGTTCGTATTCGAGTCTTTCCACAAGAGTCAATGTTTCCAGCGCAGAGGAATGCATTTTTTGAGACACCAATCGAAGGGAAGTGACTTCTTCGTGAAGCGACTCAATTTCGGTACCTTGATCGCGGCAACGCGCTTCCAGTGTCCCACATTGGCGAGTTGACGTCTCCAATTGTATCAAGACATCAGCTAGGTGAGCTTTCAACTCTGTCTCATTCGCGTGTGCTAGCTGAAGTTTGACCAGCATTGCATCCCTATCGGCACTCCCCAATTTCGCCGAATCACTGTTGGCAAAAGCCGTCGCTCTATCGGCAATGTTTGCGGCTAACAGTGCTGCGTGAAGTTCATCTTTATCACTTTGTAAAGACTTTATGCGGGCTTGAAGCGTCTGTAACTCATTCTCCCTTCTAGTAGCTTCATGACTGAATTTGGCAAGCTCATTCTCCTTCACTTTGATCTGCAATTCAGCTTGCTCCTTAGCCCTGAGAGAGCTGTTGAATTGCACTTCAGTCTGTCCTAATTTCATTTTCAATGCGTTTTTAGTGCATTCAAACTGCTGCTCTAATTGAAGTAGCTTCTGAGCAATTTGATTCTCATTACTTAATGCAGCTTGCTCACTTGACTTTGCATTGTTCAATTGATTGTGCAATTCCGATATTTCAATTAGCAGCTCACGATGCTTGCATTGACAATCTTCCAGCTCATCAACAAGTACTCGTTGTCGTTGTAACGTTGTGTCTCTCTCATGTTCAAGTGACTGGGAGATAGCATGTTCTTTATCATACTCAGTCTCTAGTCGATGCAATTTTGTCTGTACTTGTTCAAAGTCTTGAGTTAGCGCCTTTACGCGGGAATTTAAATGCTTATTATCCACTTTCATAAGGTCCAAACTTGCTTGCAACTGCTCTACCTGTATTCGTTTCTCAGCAAGAGAATTCTCTACAGACATGACCGATTTTTCCCGTTTCCGAAGTACATTCACATTATCCAGACGCAAGACAAGCGTGGCCATCTCTGACTCTAAGTAGCGTTTGTCACTTTTCAACTGGTCCAATTGAGCATCTACTTTGAGCTTCGCTTGCTCTACCGTGTGTAGCTCATTACGCAATGTGTCACATTCCTTCTCCTTTTCTCTACTACAACGGGATTCCTCGTCAAGTTGTTGCTGTAATTTATAAACCTGCTCTTGATAAATATTCGTTGTATCCGCAAAACGCTGAGTGTCTTCCTCTATCATAATGTTTGGTTGTTTACAAAGATTCTTAATCTCGTCTGAGCCTTTTGCTAGTTTTCCTTCTGTCTCTGCATTCGTCAGTGAAAGATTTTGATGATCCGTACGTAGGTGATAAAGTTCGCTTTTTGCGCTTGCAATTTCAACGTTGGACGCTGATGGTTGATGCTCAAGATATTGCTTTTGCGCTTCTGATTCCGAAGACGAGAGATCTGACTCATATTTACCAGCTACATCAATCGTGGCAGTATGACAATTGTCTATCAAACTCGTTTGGCTCGCCTCCAATAAGCTTAACTTTCGCTGAAGTTCTGTAACTTCATGCTTAAGAAGAGTCTCTTGATCCTGAAATTTAGCTGCTGCAATGTCCCTCTCTCGCTGTAAATTTGTTATAGTTTTCACAAATCTTTCTCGCTCTGCTGTCATCCCATTTTGGAGCTCGGAAATTTCGGTTCGTACGGTTTTCAGTTCAAGAATATAATCACTCTTTTCGTTTTGCAACGATATAACTCTAGCTTCATAAACGAAACATTGTTTACACTCATCTTTCTCTCGTCCATTACATCTGTCAAGATGACTCGCAAGCTCGTCAATCTCTTGTTGTCTCTGTCGGTTTTGTCCAATAGAAGCATCTTTCTCGAACATCAAGAGCTCGATCCCAGCACGAAGTGATTCTGATTCTTCATTTAAAGTGCTCTGCGCCTTTTGTCGGGGTCCATCTTCGACTTGAAGGTCAAGGAGGCCTGCCTTTTCGTCGGTGGATGTGATGCTATCGTGAAGTCTGTTGTACCTTTCAACTTTTGTTTCAAGAATACATTTTATTTGCACCAGAGCACTTATCTCGTTCTGCAAAGCATTGCATGATTCCTCCAGCCCCTGACGTAATCGTATTTCATTGTCAAGTTGCTGCTGCAGTGCTTGTAGGTTCTGCTGGTACTTACTAGCCTTCGCATCCTCCTCAATATTTGACTCCAACTGCTTGCATAATTCGTTTTTTTCATTTGCTGGTTCAGTTAGTAGCTTTTCGATTTGCAAGTTGCGCGTTAGAGTCTCAGCATGTTGAAATTGTAAGTTTTGTAATGTAATCTTCGTATTGGCAGCCTCAGCTTGAGAAGCAGCTAGCTGCTCTTGTAATGTTTCGAGCTGTGTAGTCTCTCGCTCTGACGTAAGGATATCATAACTTCGACCCATCAAATCAATCTTGCTTTGCAGAGTAGCACCATTTGATCTTAGCGTACTCGATTCCATTTCTAAAATGGACACCTTCTCCAGCAGGGCTGCTATCTCTTCTTTTGAAGCAGCTTCTCGATTGCAAAAATCTAGATCTAGATCGGCGTGTGCCTTTTTAGCGCTATCGTAATCTTCTTGTAGTTTCGAAAGCTCTTTCTGTAGCTTTTCAACCTGACTCTGAGCCTCGATGCATTTTCCGTAAAGATGTGCATTTTTTTCCTCCAGCTCAAGACATTTTGAACAAGATTCGTGAAATGGGTCTGCACGACAACTAGTTTCAGAAAGTTGCTTCTGAAGATTATATACCTCACACTGAGCTTTGTCGCGTTCGTTCTCTGCATTGACTTTGTCCTGCAGTATAGCCTGCTTTTCACTATATGCCGTTTTAAGATCTAGTTCGAGAGTCTTTTGTTGATCGTGTAGCTGTTCAATCTTCAATTTCAGCTCAGTGACAAGCTGTGTTGCTTCCTCTATCTTTTCAAAATCAGCCTTCATCTTGCTTTGTAAATGTCTCTCTTTTTGTTCGAAGTTCTCCTGAATCTCGCGTTGCTTTGCTTCGTGCCTGGATCGCGATTTGTCAATCTCTGCCTTAGAATCCCGGTCCAGCTCCTCTTTTTTGTATCGGATGATATTTTCATTATCAGCCTCAAGACGCTTCAATCGGTCGTTGTGAATGCGCTTTAAGGCATTTTCCTCTTGATCAAATTGATTTTCCATAGCATTTTTTTTCTTGTCCAACTCACGCTTGAGATATTTCAGCTTCATTTCTTCTGCATCCTGAACATCCTCAAATTCTACCTTGAGCTTCTTTCGCAACGCATCAAGATTACTGGCATGAGTGTCCTCAACTTTGCGCACCATTTCCGCATAATCTTGGTCAACTTTCTTACGCTTTTCGTCAAAGACATCATCATCATTTTTTATGGTTTCTTCTGCTTTTGTCGTTATAGTTGATGAGGAGGTCAGTTGAGGCTTCTTAGTGAGAGGGTTGCCAAGTGCGGTTCTCGATAAAACTTTGACCGATTCGTTAGTCTTAAGGTTCTCAATTTTGCCGTCCAATTGAAAACCAAATCCACGTGATTCCTTGGCTTCACTCCTAAGAGGCTGACCGTAACAAGTTACACACACATTTTAAAACTACATATGCTCGCCACCACAAAAAAGATCAAAGATACTTACTCCAAGACCCGCAACAGGCTTCAATCCTCCTCCTGTCACTGATCCCAGCCTACTAGTGACCCCAGGTAGAGGCTTCTTTTCAAACACATTTGATAATCCCACGGATGGCCCACCAAGTAACTCTGCTTGAGTAAAGGGTGCTTTTTTCTTCTTTCCACCATTTTTTCGACCCAGCAACTCCGCCACATCTGCTTGAGCTTTTTTCTTCTTTTCATCTCTTTCCTAGTAAAACAGGTTCCACTCTTGAATCACCAGACGAAACATGTACATAATATTACCTGCGCGCCTTGTCCGTGCAACTTTTTCTTGTGTTCTTCGTACAAATTGCGATAGAACTACTAGCATAAGGCGGAACGTAAATAAATTTATATTTATAAAAGCTATAGATTGTTGAATAAATCACAACCTCATCACAAGGATGATCCCACGTGCTTTGACCACTGGCAAAGTTAAAATAATAAATTTCTTCTGTGTCCGTAGTCTTACAGGGTTTCCAATTAGCTGGGAGTGGGGCCTAAAACAGTTTACATTGTGTATGTCGAATAAGCAAAGATAGTCAACACTTCAGAAACATATAATACGTGCCTTTAGACCTTCTCGAGCGATCCAGAATAAGTCGCGCTCGGCTTCCAAATCCATTCCAAGCCATGTCGCGTACTCTAGCACCTCCTTCTCTGTCGGCTCATAATTGGGATCGATCTCTTCTTCTAGGACGATACTGTCTCCACCTTCCATTTCCTTCTTGGAAAAAGCGATGTCAGCAGTCGTTTCGACAATATTAGGCACCCCTTCAGCCATTTCACATAACGTTAGTTTGTCAAGGGCCGTGATGGTATCTTTTGAGTTATAGCTCTGTAATAATGCAGCGTCTCCACCCAGTAGCGCAACGATGTTTCGTCTTCACACCGCAACTCGTACGTGCGAGATCCATCAGGTTCAAGACGCGTACTCAAGTCGACAACCACATCAAAGTAGAAGTGATCGCCTTGAGCGTGATACTTGACAAGTATATTCGAAATTCGAGAGACAGCAAAACCACCACGAGGTGTAAATCCTCGCGCATCGTCATCCTTGCTAAAGTGATAGTTCAATATAAACGTATTGGGATCAAATTTAAACCATCGCTTTTCCCAACCTCGAATAGTTGATGCACTCTTCTTCTCCAGCATTCCTTCTAGAATAGGCAATTGCTGCTGTGTCGAAGCAGTGCAGATGCAAAGTCTATTTATGTCATGCACTAAAGCAACCATTGTTAATCCAACTTCACGAAGTTCGTATGTATGTATGCGATTCACGTCTGCTTCCAATCTAGCCACTTCAGTAATAGCACTTGAATATCCGGCGAGTATGTGGTGCTTTACTGACTCAACTCGCTGTTGCAGTGTTGACAGATCATTAATAATTTGTGGGATAGACATAGCTTCCGACAGCAGATGTCGAGTCCTGTCGTCCATTGCTTGCGTGTCAGCACTGGTATTTGCTGACGCTTGGTGAGAAGATGGGAAGATTTGGGCATCCTGGATTGTTCTTATACGAGCAGGTTGCTCCAAGTCGGCATTGACATCACTTTCATCGAAAGCGTTAGTGTGGGAACGATGCAACTGAGCACCAGAGTCGCGAAGGATATTTAGATGATGTATCGCAGCATCGGAGTGAGAGCGCAAGACTCGCTGTCGACCTGGTGTCGCACCAATTTGCTCGCTTGTATCCGTGTCCATCGCCGCATTGTTCTTCACTTTTTGAGTTTCGCTATTATCAACACTCATAGAGTCTTCAGTCGGACCCAAGTTACCCGCAGATGTGTACACAACATCCATGACACATTTACGCATATTGCCTTTCAAAAGATTGATTTTGTCGGCTGAAATAGACTGTCCATGTTTCTGCTTCAGTCGCTTGTAAACCTCCCATGGAATATCCTCGCTCTCGATATCTTCCGGCTCGGCACTGTCATGGAGAACCTGTAGACTACGCAGCTGATATGACTCTGCCTGCTCCATCTCACCATGTCTAAATGTGGGATTGACATGATCGTTAAAGTCGCTCTAGACGACTCTAAAATTACGCATAAGCTCACATTTGATATACGACGGCAAGACTATTTAGCGTTTCCGCTACCTTAAGGCTGTTTTTGCCGTGACATTGTTCCCGTAGTGTCAGAGCTCGCAACAAATGCTGCACGGCAATGTCCCGCATTCCGTGAAGTCGATAGACCATCCCCAGCTCTTGTAGCACCTCTGCTGTTAGATCATCTGCATTAAGCGACGTGAGCAAACATCATAAGGTTGCTCTCATATCTGATTGCGTACCTGGGCCATACTTTTCATGAATAACAAGGCGTTGATGCAGTAACGGAAGTGCCTTGTCGTGCTCACCATTCATTATGTAGAGCAGAGCCAACTGCTTCAGATCATCTGAGACTTGCACGTGAACTATTACGTAGCAATAGCATTAATATAATACTGGAAGATAGAATACACTCAAACACGATGAAAATACAATCTCCGTGAATCTTCTGCGACACCCGCAACCGCTTGACCTGCTCAGTAATCACCTATGTGGAGTAATCCATTAAAGAATGCAGACATAGTAATAGTAAATTAGAAAAGTGCATACTTTGAGCAGTGCATTAACGTCACCATCGTCTGTCGATGGCTCCATCGTCGACATGAATATATTTTAATTGAAATGAATGTGTCTTTTTTGTACTCAATTTTGATCCTAATCTGGGATTATGTTGTACGTACACCCTACACTATTGTCACTATTCTAGGCTCAGAAAGGTAATATGCTGAGAAATCATGACTAGTATTAGAACGGCCGAGGTCCGCCGTTCAGAGTACATAGCTCAATATTGAACCAGACATAGTAAAGCAAATATATTTGGTCTAAGTTTAGACTGGATTGTAAAGTCATTCTCGAAATCCAATGCAGACAAGTTACCCATTTACTGAAGCAGCTTTTGGTTGATCTCTTAAGTAGAGCGCAGAAAATAT